CCCCCCCCGGTGCCAGTGGCAGGCCCGAGGGACCCCGGTCCTGTGGAGGCAGGACGGCATCGGATCTCGCCCCCCGGAGGTGGCAGCGTATCTTCCTCGTTCCCGAGCCGGGTTGTTTTCATGAACCTTCTATTTGGGCATTTCAGGCACCAGCGGCCGGGCCCGGGGCCTGCGAGGCACGCCGAGCACTCCCATTCTCCCCTCCCCCCTCCCGATCCCCTCTTCCCGTTTCCTCCCCCCCCCTCCCTCCTCCCTCACACATCTCCCTTTCCCTTGCCGCATGGAACCGACCGCCAAACGCCACTGATCTATGTGTATGCTCTGTCCTTCTGGTCGCACATTGCACCGCCTCTCCTGCCCGTGCACTCACCCGCTTCGCTCCGTCCTCCCCCTCCCCCGGGCAAGTAGCTTCCTCCCAATCCACCCGGAATCGCTGCTCCCATTGCAATGCTCCGCTGCCCGTTGAGAGCCCACCACTGAGCCTCAGCGGTCCGAGGTTCGGGCTTTGTGCCAATTGCCTTCTCTCGTCCAGTGGTTCCCCCACTGCCGAGGCCGCACGCTCGTATGTTCTGCTCTCGCCCCCCCCCCCCCTTCTCCCGGTGCCTTTCAACCCGACCTCGATCGCTCAAGCTGTCTCTAACAATGCAGCGCCCCTGCTCCCTCAGTCCAGATGGGAATCCGCGCTCGCCAGCGTCCGACGATGAGCCAACAACCGCCGGTGCCCCGCGACCCCCCATCCGCGGCGCAGTCTCCATTCTAGATTCCGTCATCCAGACCTACATGTCCATGTACGTGCGGCAGCTCCCCTCCCTCCCCCCCCCCCCCCCCACTCACCTGGCATGTGCTCGCAAGAGTCTAATCCTCCCCTTTCCCCTGCCTCTGCCTCGTGTCTGGGCCCATGCATTTTGCCCCTTGCCTGTGTCCAGACTTTCAAATTACCTTGACGAGACTCCTGATGGCACGCCCTTCCGCTCGTCGACCGATGTCCGGGCTAATCCCCGAGCCGATCCCCGAGCCGATCCCCGAGCCGATCCTCGAGCCGATCCCCGGAATTACGCCTTCAACAACCATGATCTCAACGAAATCCTGGCCCATCTGTTCCAAAGCTCCTCGTATGTTGATTGGATCCCATGTTTTTGCCTTGTAGCTTCCTTCCTGGCTCGACCAAGGCCTCTCTGCCTTCTTGCAGGGCACATGATGCTGACTCCTGTCCTCTTGGCTTGCCCTTGTCTGATCCCCCCCCCCCCCTCCCCCCCCTCTGACTCAGCACCCCGGATGACGCGGTGTCCGACGCCGCACTGGCCGCCCTTCGTCGGCTGGAGGCCCCGGCCGCCGACTCGACCCTCTGCCGCCTGTACAGTTCGAAGGTTCTGCTGTCGCTGCAGAATTTTGTCACTCACGTGCGCGATGGTCAACCCCTTGACGAGACCCTTTTCTACTGCTCCATCTGTCAGGATCCCCTGGTGGCGGGCATCCTCTCGGAGGCGGACTTGGCCCCCGGCAGCCGGGAAGCCGATCCCAACCAGGAAATCCCCCTGCCAGATTACTCGATCGACCAGGCAGCCATCCTGGTGGAGCTACCCTGCAACCACACCTATCATGAGGAGTGCATCATCCGGTGGTTAACCCATGTGCGTGTCTTTTCGCCCGTATCCCTCGCCTCACCTTCGACTCGCCTCTCGTGTTTGTGTGTTTGCGTGTGTGTGTGTGTGTGTGTGATATTCTCGCTGCGCGCCTCCTCCCGCCTCTCCTGCTGTGTTGCTAATCGCCGATCTTTCCCGCTTTCTTGTCTTCCCCCCCCCCCCTCTGCCCGGTGTTGGCTCAGCATTCCACCTGCCCGGTGTGTCGTAAACGTGTGGACGAGCCTGTCAGCGAAACGCCCTCCCGGGGGGATCGACCCGCCGGCGGTGCTCCATCGCCCTCGGCCAGTGGATCGGTCAGCTCCCAGAGCTCCACCCAATATCAGTCTGCTTCAAGTGGCAGCCTGCATGGCGGGGGGGAGCCATCATGGCAGCGACAGCCGACCGGCAGCTCGACATCGCCATCCTCTCGCCCGGCAGCTGAGGATCCCGACTCCCTGCATGTTCCTTTCAGCATGGACCTGTCAGACTCCGATGATTGAAGATCACTGCATGCTGCTTCCCTCCCTCGCTTTTCCCCCCTCCTGTCCTTTCCGCACGGAGGGCGTGTGTTTGCATGCAGAAATGAAGAGAACATCAATCGAGTCACACCTGGGTGCATGTCCTCCCCGTGCCGGCATGCCCGGTTTATCAGCAGGGGGTGGGCGTCGGCCCTGTCGGCAGGTTGCCGGCTCTCCCGGTCATGGGCTCGGGTATATCCCTGGTGCAAGGGGGGGGGGGGGGGGGGGGGGAGAAAGATGCCCTCCCCTCTACACGTCCGGAGAGGGCCATCTCGGCAATACGAAAGGGACGCCTTCCTCTCGTTGGATTGGGTTGGTGATTCGGCCGATTGATGTCCCTTTTCTCCTCGCACCCTGCCCCGAGAGAAGTGACTGTGATTCCTGGATGCCATGTCTCCTCGCTTTCTTTCTTCCTCCCCACCCAACCGGGGAGCCTGTGCACGAAGGCCGTGGTGTGCTTCAATTGTTAACCGGCCGCGCAATTAACTGGACATCATCGACGTACCGTCCATGTTCGCTCCGTACCCCGTTGGCAGATGGTCCTGTGGCTGCCGCCGCTCGACGAGTGTGCATTATTATTGGGCATCCGTCCGGCAAGTGTGTCCTGGGTGCCGTGTCTGTGTAAGGAAGCGGCGCCGGGGGGGGGGGGGGGGGGGGGGGGGGGGTTGCGGGGCATTCGGTGGCACCGGTTTCCCGGGGGCGACGCCCCACGAAGAGCGGCTGTTGTTTTTGCTCGTCCCCCTCCCCCCGCCCCGGTCCTGTCTGTGTTCCTTGCTGGTGTCTTCTCGAGATATTGTCGCTCACTTGCACGACCCTGGCGGAGCCTCGGCCCAATTGTTGGCCCCATTAAAGGCGACTCGCCAGCGAACAGACCCCTACAAGCGGCAGGCACATGTTCTTCCTTCCGCTACCCCCCCCCCATATATACTTCTTTCGCCCCTCCTCCCATCCCCTCATTCTTCCTCTCCCTCTCTCTCTCCCCCCCCCCCCCTCCCCGAAACATTTCTGTCGGTCAAGTACACCCACATAGCGCCATGATTAAGACCGTGCTGATCATCAACAACCAGGGCAAGCCGCGCCTGACCAAGTTCTATAGCCGCGGCGGCCCCGGTGGCGGTCAGCGCCCGGATGAGGCCACCCAGCAGAGGATTATCCGCGAGATCGCCCAGCTGGTCACTCGTCGGCCGGACTCCATGTGTAATTTCCTCGAGGGATCTAAGTACGTGATTGTGTGCACACGCATGGTGGCCGGCTGTGTCACTTCACTCGCCCCCCCCTGTGTGCAGCCTTCTTCTCCTGACCTGGCTCCTCGGTCGTAGGATGCTCGGCGGCCCCGATTCGAAGATCATCTACCGGCACTATGCCACACTCTACTTTGTCTTCGAGGTGGACTCCTCCGAGTCGGAGCTCGGCATTCTGGATCTGATTCATGTCTTTGTCGAGACCATGGATTACGCCTTCAAGAGCGTGCGCGAGATCGACATCATCTTCCACTCGGACAAGGTGCGCCTGCGTGTTTTTTTTTCATACGCCCCTCTTTCTGCTCCCTTGTGCGCCGCCTCTCCTGTTCCTTGGTGCTGACGGCATGTATGCATGCATGTATGGATGTGTGCGCATGTGTCGGCTTTGTGGTGCCTATGCATGACCAATTCGAAACAAAGGTCCACTACATCCTGGACGAAATCATCATGGGTGGCATGGTCCTGGAGACCAATGTTCGAGAGATCATTGGCGCCCTCGAGGCGTCCGTGCGCCTGGAGCGCGAGCAGAAGGAGCTCTCCAACAAGGCCCTGGCCTCCGGCCGTAACCATGGCAGCGGGCGGTCCCCCTCTGTGCGCTAAGCCAGCAGGGCCAAGTGGGCGCCGGTCCTCTGCCACCTCCTCGTCGTGTGCCTGGCGCCGCGCGCGATACTTCTCCTGTCCTCTTTCCCTGTCTCCCCTGTACCATAGATTGCATCCTTTTCCTTTCTCCCTGATACCCATGTGCCATCAGGCATCGGGGCTGGCCCTGTGTTGATGCCCCCCCCCCCCCCCCTGTTTTTGCTGTGCGAGAGAGAGAGGGACAAAAGAACACTTTGGCCTTGGCAAAAGAGGGCACCCCAGAGAAGACGGTCTTCGTGATTGTATTGGGAAAACAAACTTATCCCCGAAAAGGAACACGTGAAGGTCACGCGCAAAGTCACACCATAACAATTGGCTCCTCCCCTGGTCGCCCCTCCTCTCGCGCTCGGCGTCGCCCCCGCCGCCGCGGCTGGGGGGGCTCCCGAGGCGTCTCAGTGGGGACAATCGTGGGACGCCCTTCCCTCCCCCCCCCCGGGGGGGGGGGGGATCAGCCACCGCGCCCAGTGGGTAAGAAGGTCCTCTTTCAGCAGGTGGCTGGAGGGGGGTGGCGGTCGGCCCCTGCTCAGGGCTGCATAGGCGCGCGCTTGCCAGGCCCCACCCATATGATGTGCCCGGGCCAGGGGGCGACGCCCCGGGCCAGGGGAGGCCTCACCCTTTCCCATAAAAAGAGGGAACCAGATGTTCGCGTCG